AAAAAAAAAAAAAAAAAAGAATAGTACACATGGGCTTCCCTGGTGGCGCAGTGGTTGAGAGTCCGCCTGCTGATGCAAGGGATGCGGGTTCGTGCCCTGGTCCAGGAAGGTCCCACATGCCGCGAAGCGGCTGGGCCCGTGAGCCATGGCCGCTGAGCCTGCGTGTCCGGAGCCTGTGCTCCACAACGGGAGAGGCCACAACAGTGAGAGGCCCACAAACCGCAAAAAAAAACAAAACAAAAAAAAAAGAATAGTACACATAGAATGTGTAAATTAAAAATAAAGATGTGGAGCCAGCCAGTGTGAGAAGAGTGTAGTCTAGTTGCTAGCTAGAGCTGGAAAATATCACAAAGCAGCCTACAACATTACACTTAACACTTCTTTATTTCTTTTACTTCACTGTTTATTACCCTGACCCCCTCAAGATTTCCAAATACCTTAATCCAAATAGACGGTATGTTTTTATATCTTTATCTCATTCTGACCCTAAATCCAAACAGCATTTCATCACAGACAACTATGTTTATTCTTAAAGAATAATTCTGTGTATACCTTCCTCTGGGTAACATCCTACTTATATCTAAAAGGTTAGAAATCTAGGTATTTCAATCCTCTAAAACATTACCGTAAAGCAGGGAAAGAAACTGTTTTTTAAAACTAGAGGGCTTCCCTGGTGGCGCAATGGTTGAGAATCCGCCTGCCGATGCAGGGGACGCGGGTTCGTGCCCCGGACCGGGAAGATCCCACATGCCGCGGAGCGGCTGGGCCCGTGAGCCATGGCCGCTGAGCCTGCGCATCCGGAGCCTGTGCTCCGCAACGGGAGAGGCCACAACAGTGAGAAGCCCACATACCACAAAAAGAAATTTAAAAAAAAAAAAAAGTGCCTAAACTAGAGTAACTGAAATACAATTCAGGTAACCAAATGATAGCTGAAACAATCTTTTAGCAAGGTACAAAGGATAACAATATGTCAAAATATAAATGATGTTATCTTTCCATGCAATAGTATACACCCTGAAAGTACCAAGCAAATGAATACTGTTAAATCATGCATAATTAGGATTAAGGATTTTATCAGCTATCCACACTTTATGGGAGCCTGTAGTATTAACATAAACTAAAAGAATAATCCTGTCCATTCTTTACTTCCTGGAACCTGCTAGTAAAAATCCCATTTCTTTGACATAGCAAAATTATTCTATTTTCAGACATTCAAAAATGAGTTAAGTTACAAATTTCTTCAGAAGGCTCATAGTTTACTAATTATTTATTCAATTCACTCAAAAAGTATCTCTGAATACCTGCTATATGCCAAGCATTTTATAAGATGTTAGAAGTACGAAGATAAATAAAATAGTCCCTGTCCTCAAGTAAACAAATTATGCAATAAGTGTTACTCTCCCATTTTTAATTTTCAGTGTGTTTAAAACAGACTTACACCCAAAAAATTATGTTCACATTACAAGAAATGAGAGAAATGAAAATAAACTTACTGGTAATATTCTAGTATTTAACAACCAAATATGCCAAAAATAAAAAACCTGAAACCACCAAGTGTTTGCCGGAGTACGAATAACAGGTATTCTCACACATAACTGGCAGGACTGTTAATTACAACCTCTGTGGACAAGATTTGGTTTTCTTTTTCATTCTCTTAACGTGACATTTTACTTAAAAGAGATTTTAGAAGCTGATACATCTTTGTATACCTTGAGATAAATGTTACTTGGTTATAACGTAATTTTTTAATATATAGATGAAATTGCTTTGCTTTTACTTAGGAATCTTATATTTGTTTATAATCAATTCTGGTTTACAATTATATTTTTTCTGTACTATCTTCATCTGGTTTGGTACCAATAATAAACCAACCTCATTAACTATGTTGAGTAGCTTCCTCTCCTTTTCTTTTCTCTAAAATAAAATAATTCCAGGTTTTTTAAAGATCTCAATGTGAAAAACAAAACTACAAACCTTTTAAAAGACAATAAAGGAGACTATAAGGTCTGCTAAAACTTGCCAGTGAAACATCTTGCACATGCCATTTTGTTGGATTTTTAATATTTCACTTCTTTCACACTGTCATTTTCATTTTTCTGCTTCTACCTGTGACAACTGTATTAATTATATTTTTCTAAGAAATTATACATTGCATTGAAATTTTCAATTTATTGGAATAGGGTGACATAATATTCTTTTCTTTATAAAACTCTACTATATGAATAGGTTTGATCCTTTTTTAGTTACTAATATTATATATTTAGGTCTATTTTCATTATTTTTCTTTACTAATATTGCTGGAAAGTTTGCATATTTTACAACTATTTTTCCAAATATACATTATTTAGACTTGTTTATCCTTTCTAAAATTCTGTGGAGTTTTCTCTTCTGTTTTAGTAGGTTCTCACCTGAATTTACGTAAAATTTCAAAAAAAGTAAATAAAGGCTAACGTTAACCCTCGGCTCTCACCCACCAAAAAATCAATATAGCCATACTGATATTAGATGAAAGAGGTATTGGGTGGGGAGGCGTTAGTGGAATCGAAATTAAAAGGAGTCATACATAATGATTAAAAAAAACAAAAAAACCCAGCTGAAATTAACCAGGACACAATAAGTCTAAACATGTATACACCCAACAACATAACCTCCAAATGTGTAAAGCCAAATTGACAGACATAAAAGAAGAAACAAACTCACCTTCCTAAAGGGAGATTTTACTCTCTCTCTAACTCATATCTCAATCAGACCAAAAAACAATTTTTTTAGTGTATTGAGTGGCATACATGTAACACTCCACCTAAGATTTGAAGAATTAATTTTCAAACACACACTGAACCTCT